AAGCCATATTAGACCACGGTGACCGGGACCCGGGTCAGCCGTGCCCCCTTCCCCATGTGTCCACCGTCCCCCCTCCGGTTTCGTGGGGCTCAGCGGCGCAGGACGAGCCACGTCGGCCACGGTTGCCACCGTCACCCCGGGCAGCGCTGGGCACAGACGCCGGGGCCGACCTCCTGGTGGTGTTTCTGCAATGGAAAAGCTGGGATGCGGTGGAGATCTGGTGGTGAAAAGGCTTTTTTGGAGGGATTTGGGCTATTTCTGCTGTGTCCGCTCGGGTGGTTTCCATTTCGGGGATGAGGTCGGTGCAAACCCAGCCGTGCCACGGAGACGCTCGGCTTTGGTCTCCTGGGGTTCGAAGGAAGCAAATCCAGGAGTTTTTGGCAACAACCTCGGCTTTCTCGTCCTTTTCCCCCAAAGCCGGGAGGGAGCAGCGGCTCCTTTGGGCGTCCCAGGCTCCGGACCCCCCTGCTCTGCCCCGTCCCGGCCCCTGCAGTGCTCAGCTCTGGGGGGAGCTGCTTTTAAAGCCCCTTCCTCTCGTGTGGACTCCGTCGTTTCCGTCTCTTCTCGTTCAATGGTTATTTTGTAATGATCTCTGTCTCCTTATTAAAGAAACGAGCTGAAAGGAGCCCCTGGCCCCTGCTGGTCTCATTGCTGGAGCTCAGTGGGTGGGATGAATCCCAGGGACAATGGAGGGATGGGGATGAGGGGAGCCCCACAAAGCCCCCCAAAACACGTGCGTGCTCACATGGAGGGGGTGTCCCCAGGACCCCCAGGCCCTGGTGAGTGTGGCTGTCCTCGACACGGGGCACAGGTGGGAAGACATCGAAGGTCCCCACCGAATTCTTCCCCCAACACAAGCAGTTTGGGCCATGTGTTCACCTTTGGGTGCTGCTCTGCTTTCAGAAGCGCTGGACACCCCCAGCACCAAGGGAAGGAGCTCACGCTGCAGTAACTGCCCCTCAAAACCCAAACAGGCAGAGGGTCCATGAACCCCACCGGGGACAACAGCTCCAGTGTCTGCACTGGGGGCCTGTCCTGCTCCAGGTTCTGAGCAGAGCAAACGCAGGGCCCAGCACCACAGAGGGAACCCCTGGGCACAACCCCACCAGGGTGTGGAGGGGACACAGGGACCCTCTCCCGTTGGGTGGATTTTGGGGACGCGCACCCACAGCTCCTTCACTTGGGCTTTTGGGGAGCGCTGCCTTCCCCACGGCGCAGCTATGGAGCATTTCTGCTTTCACGGGCCACTGATATCACTGTGCTACGGAAGTTTTGGGCAAAAACCACGGCATTTTAGGTTAAACCACTGAGAAAAACAGAAGCCAAGGCAAAGCTTCTATTTTATCAACTCTTATTTTATTCATTTATAAATACTGTTGTGTTTACAAGCATCATAGATGTGAATATTATTCCCAAACTTTCAAACACATAATACTTATAATACTATATAACAACAACCAGTAAAACAAATCATTCATCTCAGGGTTTGAAAGGCCACTCAAAAGTTGCATAAAAATACATTCTCTCCCCATCTCGTAAGCCAGTCCCGCTTCTCCAAGGAGTTTATTTACAAGGAGCCGTCATCAAACTCGCAGCCACAACAGGCGGGTTCACCCCAAGCGATGATAAAAACGAATTCACCCCAAGCAATCGCTCAGAAAACAGCGAAGCGCTGTGCTCTCCATGGGGATCACGTCTGGCAAATGCTCTGGGTCACACAGTTTAAAACCTGCTCGTGTCCGTCCCGGCCGTCCCCTCCGCAGCGCGGCGGTGGGGCCACGCGGAGAATGGGGTCAGCACGAGCACTCACAGCTTGGTCAGCAGAACAAGCCATTGGGGGGGACCCAGATGGGGTTTGGGGGGGACGACCCAGTGCTGAGCACCACCAACCGCTGGTTTGGCTTTGCAAGAGGAACCGAGCCCCCCGCGCCCTTCAGTGCTGCTCCTTCGGGTGTCCTGCGGGAAGGGGCAGATGTCAGTGCAGGGTGGGTTTGTCAGGTGGGGCTGAACCCTCTCCCTCAGCAGCCGCCGGGCTTCACACGGCCAGGAGCAGGAGTTTTAGTCCGAAATCGCGTCCCTCGTCCCGCCGGGATGCACCCCCCGCAGGTGAGGATCTTCCCCGCGCGGCGCAGAAGGGCCCGGACTCCAGTTCGGAGCCGGGAGGGCCCAAATCCGAGGCGAGGAGTGGGTCAGCAAGAGGAGGAAACACCAAGAAGTACTCACAGCGAGTGCAGCACGGGGAACGGCGTGCAGAAGCAGCATTGACCGGATCTCGAGACTGAACGCTGTTGAATATAGCAGGGTTAAAAGAAAGGAGTATAAAAAGGAGCCTCTGCAGAAACCCCGGTGCCGTCACCAGCTTTGGTCTCTTCCTCCCCAAAACGCAGGGGCGGAGGAAGGGTCTCGGTGCCGTGCACAGGTAACGCCGCGGGAGAGGAACCTCTGAGCTGCTGGGGAAAAAGGGGGCTCCGAGAGGAGCCAGAGAGGGGCAAACAGGAGAGGGAGGGGAAAAATGGAGAACTGGGGGGAAAAATGAAAAACCGAAGGAAAAAAAACCCCAAGGGAGAGGAAAATAAAGATGATTTTTGAAGCAATTATCAGCAAAAGGGTCCAAAATGCCCAGGATTGACTGACAGAGGTAAATTTTACCCTGTTGAGCACACCCAAGGATGATGCTCACGTTCAAGTATCTCCTCTATCTCTCATAGTGGAGGGTCTGGGGGCCTGGGGACGTGGGTACAACCCCTCACAGACACCCCCGTGTTCAATGACTGCGACTGCAGGGGCAGGGAGATCACAGGACAACGGGAAAGAGAGGAGAAAAGTGGGAGGATGAGGTGGGGACGTGGTTCGGGTATGGGAGGAAGTCGCTGAGAAGGAAGGGGGCATCTCCACAGATCTGACGGGAGGTCGCTGCCATCACCACTGCACTCAGAGGAGCTGGTCTGATGCCCATGGGGAACAACTCCAAACTGCTCTGAGTGCGGGTAACGTTAAAGAGGGGTTTTTGAGGCTTCCTTCAAGGCCAAGGCTTATTGCAAGCTTCTGGCAGATGAAAAGCCCCATCCCGGCAGTGCAGGCACCAGCACAGCCAAGGGGAGCTCCTGTCCCTCTGACACCAAGGCCCGCAAGGCACAGGGCAAGATCAGTGATCGCTGCTTCACGCTGCTCTGCCTTGAACCCAGCTTTTCTGCTGCTGGGGGGTGGGACAGGGCCCTGGATCCCCTCTCTCTAAACCAACTGGGGCTGCCCTTCCCTTCAGGTACCCGAAACGCCTGCCCAGACTCCTCTGTAGGGCTCTGCCTCCATGAAGACAGCAGGAAAATGGTTGTTAGGACAGAGGGACGGTTTCTGGTGTGGGCACAGCTCCCTGCGAGGGGATCCACGCTCACACACATGTGGACGCAGCAGCAGATCTGCAGGGGTTCACACTTGTCCCTCAGAAAGCTTGGGAGGACCCGAGCTGCATCCTGGCTGAGATGCAATGAGCGGATGGAGATGGGGGCCCTGGAAGGACACGGGGTGACACCGAACCCCGCAGGCTGCGAGGAAAGGCAGGGACACGGGGAATGGCGCTGAGAGTCAGGCTGATGTTACTGAACGGGTCTGAAATAAAAGACTTGGTCTACGGGGGCGGAGGGAGAAGAAGATCTCTGTGCAAAGCGGCTGTTGTCAGCCTGGTACAGAAATCAGCCCTGGTGGCTTCCACAGCATCGCAGCGTAACCAGAGTCCCCATCTCAGTGGGTTGTGAGCCTGAGTCCCAGCCCATGTTCCCATTTCCCACCTGGAAGTGCTGGACTGGTTCTTTCTGTCACTTTTTCAAGTAGGCGCTACCTGCTCCAGAGCAGAGTCCAACACCAAGCACCGGGCAGAAGAAGTTTTGGCAGCTCAGACCCAGTCCTCGCCTTTCTCTTCTCCCTTGAATAAAATGTCCGGGATACCACAACATGCTTCGTTTAAAAGGAACCAGATGGCAGGGGCGCGTGTTTGGGGGAAGTCAGGGCAGAGAGGGAATGTACAGCAACGGGCAGGGCAAGGCAGGCTGATCCCACGGCCGAGACGCTTGCTGTACGCGACAGGAGCGGGGCAGCGTGGGGTTGGCAGCTCGCGTAGGGCACCCTCCTCATCCCGCCTCTGCTCGGGACTCCTATTTGGAGAGTTTGCTGATGACACGAATGAGGGCTCCGTTCTCGTCCTTCAGCCTTTGGTTGTCCGACTTCAGCTCCGTCAAAATCTGTGAGAGACAAACGGGAGGTGGGATCAGAGCTCGGCACCGGACGGACAAACTCCGACGTCCCAGCCCCTGCACCCGCGCTGTTAACGCTGAGCATCTCTGCAGGGTTTTCACAAGGCGTGGGGGGTTGAGCACAGCAAAGAGCCCCTGGTGAGCAGCGACGCCACGGCCCCAGCGCCAGGGAACCGTTTCTGAGCCGTTTCACCCCAAACCTGCTCCCAGAGGCTCGTGAGGGCTTGGCAGAAAACGCTAAAGCTGCTTTTCCTGATTGGTTTTTCCATTTGGCCAGGACCAGAGGGGAAAACAAGGGCCTGAAATGCTCACTTGGGGCTGGACCTTGCAAAACCTCTTCAGAACAACCCAAATTTCCTCGGTATCCCACAGGTGTTCAATGCAAACCAGAGGCCTGGACACACTGACATGGAGACACCTCCTCGGTTCTGTTTAAGGCTGGAGCTCAACCAGGGGCCACAACACAGACAACAGCCACAGCTTTTAGTTGGAAATGGGACGAACCAGCTTTGACAAGGCCTTTCCAGCATCTCTCATTGGCAAAACCCCTCCCGACTCCTCCTGCTATGGGGCTGACCTCCACTGGACCGTCCCCAGACACTGGGGACTGCAGGATCCCGTGCTGTGGGGGTGACCTCCATGCACCATCCCCAGCCCTTGGGTACTGCAGGACCCCGTGCTCCTGTCTGGGTGTGACACCGAAGGTGCCAGCAGCCCCAGGGGCCATCAGCTCCGATCTGGAACAAGCCAGGGGGTAGTGGGGTCACGACACTTGTGTGGGCTCCGCAATGGCTCGAGGAGGGGCTTCGAGGAGCTCCCCCAAATTCAAACCCCACTGAACTTTCTTCTAAGCTGGAGCTTCAGCTCTGACCACAACTCCTGCCCCAAGGTGCCCAACTCCATCCCCACTGATGCTGGTGGAGAGGAGGGGGCAATGGGAGCATGGAGGGATACTGGGGTAAAACAACGTGATGGGGTGGCCAGAGCTCCAGTTTGTGACGCTCAGAGGCGTCTCACTGGACCCCACTTGTTAACTGGGAATGTTACGTCACGTATCGCTGGCTGAAGGCTGGGTGTTCACTGCTTTTTACCAAGTGTCAAATCTCCAAGGTTTTCTGAAGGAAGCATGAATGAAGGCAGCAACAGCAGAAACTGGCACCTGTATGGCCCCCTCCGTCTGCTGACGGCCTGCAAGTTCAGGCAAATGTTTTTATCCTTGCTGGATTGGAAGGGGAAAACCAAACCAGAACTGGATGGCTATGGATAAACTCCTTAAGTTGTGGCAATTTCTGTGGAGAGCTGATTCTGTACAGCACGTTACCTGTGGTCGTGTGCTGCTCCCTGCCTCAGCTTCTGCGGAGGGGAGGTGAGCACTGCTCCTTCAGCAGCAGCTGGGAGTCGTATGACCCCGACCCCGTGTGACAGGGACATCACCACAGGGCTGTCACCACATTACAGATCTGCTCATGGCCAAACCAGAGCCATCGCCCAGCACCAAAATACTCAGAACCCCCCAAAACCAGGGAGAGCACCCGTTTCATCCTGCACCCTCTGCTTCCTCCCGAGCTTCGTGCACTGCACAGCACGGTGCTGCCCAGTCCAGTGCACTGGGATGGTTCAACTCCAACTGGGTCTGCTGGGGGACGGTCCCTGTCCTTTCCACGCCACTGCTGGCGCACCCCTGCAGCCCCCAGTGCCTCCATCCCTGCAGTGACACCAAGGTGACCACTCACTTTGGCAGAGACAGCCCCGTCACAGCCTCCCAGAGAGCAGCTGCCCTGTCCTGTAACCCCACTCCATCAGATTGCAGTGAAGTTCTCCAAAAACTACAACTCAACCTCACAAATTTACATCCCCCCCGGGCCATTCCCCATTTCAAAGCAAAGCAGCCTCAAGTGACGTGAAACAAACTGCAGGTGAAGCCCAAAAACTGGAGCTTCATCAATGTCCCATCTCCATGGAGAGGAGGGAGGTGGCACAGCCCGCGGGACGGGGACGCTGACCGTCCCTGATGGCAGCAAGTGAGTTTTGGGCAGAGGCTGGTCCGAGCAGCACCCCTGCACTACCTGTGACACTGGAGAAGGTGGCATTTCCAGAATTACCTGGATTTTGGAAAATGAGATGAGTAGTAAATCTGTCTACTAAATAAGCAGAGCAATGAGAAGCAAATGAGTCTAAACCAGTGACACTCCTGCAAGCTGTGATGTCGAGGTGAGACGGGGCACACAGGTACCAGCGACATCCTGTCAGACCCACCGAAAGAGCTGAAAATAAACCAGCAGGGCTTGCAGAAACACGGCTCTTCTCCATCTGGACACCAGCAGTAAACTGCAACTGCAAACCTATGAGCAATGTGGGCTCAGCCCCCGCGCCCCCGCCAGCCTGCAGGAGCGACACGGCCGTGTCAGAGCAGAGGCCGTTAGCAGGGCAAAGCCACAATGCGAGCATTGCCCAGGAGCAGAGCAGAGCGGTGACTGCCGGGGCGGACACAGCACCTCCCTGAGCCTGGGAACACTTCTGCTCAGTTCTCAACACACGAAGGGAAGGAGAGCGACTGAACCCATCGCTTGGGAGAAGGTGGGAGCTGGGGAGAGGTTCAGGAATGCTGCTGCAGATTTAAACCAGGAGATGGTGAGATCAGTGAACGCTGATCATTTATCATTGAACATCGAACTATGGATCACTGAACATTGATCACTGATCATTGAACCACTGATCACTGAACATTGATCACTGAACATTGATCATTGAACCATTGATCATTGAACCATGGATCACTGAACCACTGATCATTGAACATTGCTCATTGAACACTGATCACTGAACACTGATCACTGAACATTGATCATTGAACATTGATCATTGAACATTGATCACTGAACATTGATCATTGAACATTGATCACTGAACATTGATCACTGAACATTGATCATTGAACATTGATCACTGAACATTGATCACTGAACACTGATCACTGAACATTGATCACTGAACATTGATCATTGAACATTGATCACTGAACATTGATCATTGAACATTGATCACTGAACATTGCTCATTGAACACTGATCACTGAACACTGATCACTGAACATTGATCACTGAACATTGATCATTGAACATTGATCACTGAACATTGATCATTGAACATTGATCACTGAACATTGATCACTGAACACTGATCACTGAACATTGATCACTGAACATTGATCACTGAACATTGATCATTGAACATTGATCACTGAACACTGATCACTGAACATTGATCACTGAACATTGATCATTGAACACTGATCACTGAACATTGCTCATTGAACACTGATCACTGAACCCTTGCTCATTGAACATTGATCATTGAACACTGATCACTGAACATTGATCACTGAACACTGATCACCGATCACCTGCACAATCCAGTCCCTGGAGCACCCAACAGCCCCAGCCCATCCGTACCCACGTGGGCTGGAGCTGAGACTCGCGGCAAGGGGGAGCCACAATTCCCCAGGTTAGTTTGTTCCCGCGGTTAATCAGCCCTGCTATAATTTGTGTGCTAAGAATAGATGATTTCATACCTTAGTGCCACTTCCAGCCCATGAGAGCACGCTGCTTTTTCCTTTTTTTGAAAAAATAGCTATGATGTCTGAAGGGACCCAAATATCCCTACTAACCTGCAAAAGGCAGGTAGGGCCCAAAGAAAGCAGCATTTACAGCTTTATTTTAGCACTGAACCAATGAAGTAGCAAGAAAGGATGTAATTCAACTGCGCGATGAGCGAGGGCAGCTTACGGGAGGCTTGTCCTTGGCTTTCAAACACCGACTGCTCTGCAATGCATTTCAAACAGATGAAAAGAGAAAGTGCATCTGCTCGGCCCCCATCACTTCCCCTGCCACAAAAACCCCAAAAACTGAACTCGGATTCTCTTTAAAATGAAGGAAGGGACTTGTTCTCTGCTCAGGTCACCAAGAAATCACTTTCCTGTCGAAAACGTGCACTTTTCATAACATCCCTAGAAACTGATTAGATTGTGCATGCTGACTTTGGATAATCTTATTTTCTGGGAGCCAGCTTCTCAAGAAGAATTGCATTATGAGCACACACGTAGCATAAAACATCCACTTTGAGGTAAGGTAATGGAAAGGGCAAACTCATGGGCACCAAGAAGCCCCCATTTTCCAGCGTTAAGCCGCAGGGAAGCAGCTGATCCATCACTCAGTGGCCATCTCAGCAACAACCACCCAGCTCCACACCTCTGTGGCAAGGCAGGGAGCGTGTCCTCCTGCTTCTCAACAAGATGGGAGCCATGGATGGGAGACACAACAGAGAACGGATGGAGAGCAGCCCCGAGGAGAAGGACTTGGGGGTGATGAGGAGCTCAACATGAGCTGGCAATGGGCACTCACAGCCCAGAAACCAACCGTGTCCTGGGCTGCATCACAAGCAGTATGGGCAGCAGGGCCAGGGGGGCATTCTGCCCCTCTGCTCTGCTCTGGTGAGATCCCCCTGCAGGGCTGGGTCCAGCTCTGGAGTCCCCAGCACCAGAAGCCGTGGAGCTGCTGGAGCGGGTCCAGAGGAGACCATGGAGATGGTGAGGGGCTGGAGCAGCTCTGCTATGGGGACAGCTGAGAGAGTTGGGGTTGTTCAGCCTGGAGAGGAGAAGGCTCTGGGGGGACCTTAGAGCACCTGCCAGGACCTGAAGGGGCTACAGGAAAGCTGGGGAGGGACTTTTTACAAGGGCAGGGAGTGACAGAGCAAGGGGGAATGGTTTTAAACTGGAAGGGGTAGATTTAGAGTGGATATTGGGCAGAAATCCTTCCCTGTGAGGTGTTGAAGCTCTGGCCCAGGTTGCCCAGAGAAGCTGTGGGTGCCCCCTCCCTGGCAGTGCCCAAGGCCAGGTTGGACGGGGCTGGGAGCAGCCTGGGCTGGTGGAGGTGTCCCTGCCAATGGGGGTTGCACTGGGGGGGCTGTGAGATCCCTTCCACCCAAACCAC